GGAGACCCTGGGAAACGGCCTCCCCAGCAGCTTAAGGGAAGGCCAATCCCTCAGGCCTAAAATCCCAAGGACCTGACTGGAGGCTAAGGGGACTGCTGAGGGGTAAGCCTGTCAGAAGTGCGGGCACCACACTGAGCTCTCCAAGGTCATGGCATCCCAAGCAAGAACTGCATTGTGACTTTCAGGAGCCCTAAGCACCTGTGCCTTTGTGTGTCCTAGGCACTCGTGCTTTGCTTCATAAAAAAATATTTAAAATTATATTTTATGAGCGCGTTGGTATAAAGACAAATATAACCAGTCTGGTTTATATTCATTTTGTTTTTCAGATTTTAAAACAGGCCCTGAGCCTACTTGTGGTTAATGGACTTTCATGTTATCCAAAGCCTTTGAGGGCCAAGCCGGAGCTTGGGCCCTGGTCCCCTAACCGGCCTCTGTCTCCGCAGGTCCCGCAGCGGATGGCGGCGGCCGAGGGCGCCCCCGAGGACGGCGGCGGCGGCGCCCCGGGAGTGTGGGGCGCCTGGGGTCCCTGGTCCGCCTGCTCGCGCAGCTGCAGCGGCGGCGTGATGGAGCAGACGCGGCCCTGCCTGCCTGGCTCGTACCGCGCGCGCGGCGGCCCGCGGCCCGGAACCCCTGCGCGCGCCTACGCGGGCCACATAGTGTCGGCCGTGCGCACGTCGGTGCCGCTGCACCGGAGCCGTGAGGAGCCGCGCGCCCCCGCCGGCCTCGACGTCAGCCGCCAGGGCCCGGTGCTGCGGGGCAGCCGGCACCCGCAGGCCCGAGGCCGTGAACCTGCGTCGGAGAGAAGGTACACTCCCTCCCGGCCCCCGCCCGCTCGCCACTGTCCCTGCCCGTGACGCTGTCCCTGCCCCAATGTGCGCTCGCGCTGCTCTGCACCACAGATTGCGTGGTGAATGCATGGCTTTTGCCGGGTGGGGAGGAATTCTTGGCTCCTCATATCTCCTTTCATCTTTTGATTTATTTTGCAGCCTTTTAAAGCGTTGAGGCCACTCCCACCCCACTTTGTGGTTCTGAATAGTCTTCAAAGTGAAGCTAATTCTAAGAAGCCTTTAGGCGTCAACCTTAGGGAGGCCCTATGGAGGGGTGAAAGAGGGGACCAGGAATGGGGAGACCTCTGTCCCAGTGCTTCTCTCCTGGTGCTGAGGGACGGGGAGATGCTGGCTCCAGTCTGTGTGCATTTGAGCTAAGGACCCAGACATGGTGCCTTTTAATCCAGGAGCTCATCGGAGTTTCAAAACCTTGGACAAATTTAATGTCTGCGGTGTTACAAGTTCTTAGGTTGTAGTCTTCAGGATTCTATGAACTTTTCTAGAAAGTTTCTCCAGAGAATTTTGAGTGAGCACACAGCTTTGAACTATGTCTAGTTAAGGGCCTAGACGTTTCTTAGAGCCTTAATAAGATGTAAACTCTAGAAATGGCATAATGGCATTCAAATGGTTGTATAGCCCTAAAAAGCTTCCCTGGCTAGGGTAGCATAAATATGCCAAACTAGGCAGTGCCCATGGGAAAGGTAGGCATATAGGGGCTGAGAAGAGCTTGTCACTGAATTAAACAAATGATATTTACAGATTACAGCATTCATTCAACAGTATTTCTTGGGTACCATAGGCCCATGATAGAATCTGAGAAAATATGAATACAAAGCATTAACAATAACAAGCAAACAAATTTACAGGAAGAACAAAAAGTGTAAGATACGTTCTCTGTGCTTAAGAAATGTATAATTTAGTGGTCAAGCCAAGCTAATGCCCATCCTAGGTGGGCATGAGCATGTTAGGTGGGCCACCTAGCCTCTCTTTGTCACTTGCAGTTCAGACATCAGCACTGATGGCCACCCTTACCCACTGTGGCTGGAGGCTGAGTGAGAATCTCCAGCCCAGTGTTGTAGACTGTCACTGCCAGTGTTTGAAGGGGAGAGGCACCCCACCCACCTTCACAGCCACATGCTCTTGACCTGGTCAGCAAGAGGTTGGAGGGAGGGGACCATTTCATAGAGAAGATGCTTTAGCTAAATTCTGCAGGATGGACCACATTTGAGTTGATAGAAGAGAGAATTGAATTGCTGTGAGTTCAGAGGCCTGGCATGGCCTGTCAGCGGGAAAGGAAAGAGAGGGATCGCTGGGAGAGAATGCTCCTTCTGTCTCTTCCTGCGTAGAAAGCTGAGTACCCTCCAGTGTCACTCTGGGACTGAGGGTCTGCTACTAAAGCTGAGGAGTTAACATATGTCATCTCCTTTCGTCCCAACCATACCCCATAGTAACATAGCTCCCTAGTCCCTTATTGGAAATGCTGATGACCAGAGTGTTTTAGAATATAGAACTGTTTAGGTTTTAGAAAGGTAACTCAGTATATTTCACATAATCAAACACATTATTATGTCTGCAGTGAAACATTGCGAAGTTCACATCACACAGGATAAAAGAAACTATAAATAGCCTTATGTCGGCTAAGGGCAGGTTTGCTGCCCAATGATTTTTGACACCAAACTGACAAAAACATAAAAAAAAGAAAAGGCAAGACAAAAACTTGGTTTTCGAAACTTTGGGTTTCAGAATTGGAGATTTATAATAGCTAAGGTTTGTTAATTGCCTTTTCTGTGTCAGGCACTGTTCCTGTCACTTTACACTGACAACCCTGTGAGATGGATGCTAATGTCCTCATTGTAGAGGTGAGGAAACAGAAGCCCAGAGAAGTGGGGTAACTTGCCCAAGGCCACACAGCTAGTACGTGAAGAGTTAGGATTTGAACCCAGGCAGTCAGGGCTCTAAGGACCTGAGGAAGCAGATGTTACACTGAGGAATCTGAGGCCCTAAGATGTTCAGTGACTGCTCAAGAGTCCTGAGCCATGGAAAAGTGGAGATTTGAAGGTGCTGCTGACTCCCAGATCCCTGGAGTGCTTGGGGACTTCCCTTCCAGCCCCTGTGGTCGAGAACCTAGGAGAGCTGCCCCAGGAACAAACTAGTTGGCTGCAGGCCTGATCTGCGGGCTTTCCAGCCCATGGGTTTTGGCAGCAGGACATTTTTTTTCTTCTAACTTATTGACAAGGGGCCAGTCACTGTTTACTATGAAGTTCCTATGAGTTTTTATCATGCTGTTGTAATTTGACAGTTTCAGATGAAATAATCCAAATATTAGCCCGGGAGACCTTTGCTGCTGACAAATGTCATGCTCTTCCCGGCTGATGAAAATCACATTTGCTTATATTTATCAGTCATTAGGAACTTGCATAGTATATGTGACCCCATGAGGAATGTCAGCATGTTCTCTGGATGGCTGTCTGCCTCGCTCTCTGGTTCAGGTTTGAGGTTTGAGGCGAAGGCTCTTAGGGCTTAGATGTTTAAGAAACTGTTAGGTTGTTATGCTAGGCAACTGAAAACTTAATTGGAGCCAGATAACAAATAAAACAAAACTATTCAACCTTCCAACAAATATTTATCAAGCATCTACTATGTGGTAAGGCCCTGAGATAGACACAAAGGTATGAAAACCAGGTTGGGGGCCTCAGGGCTCTTACTGACAGGCTAGAGCAGCTGTTTGCAAACTTTTTTTTTTTTTTTTAAGCATAAGGATCTTTTGTGCAAAATCAGTCTTAGATGGAGGCTCAATTTGTCACACAGACAAAAGCTGAGCTTCTGTGGTTGAAGCCTCAGCGGCATTGCTGTGAAAACCTGGTGTCTAGATCCATGGCGAGCTGTGGCTTTTAACCCTGGCTGACCATTAGACCCCTTTGCCCATCGTTTAGAAATCTTAGCACTCTGGTCACATACCAAATCAACATCTAAACTTCTAAGGATTGTGCTCAGACAACGATATAATTCCAATCCAGCCATGGTTGGGAATCTCTTTGGAACCTCCAGGTTCCATGGCAAAGAATTTGGGAATCGAATATCGTCTAGCAAAATTTTCCAGGTTTGGTGAACACATACCAGCACCCCTTGCTGTGCGATGAGGGATCTTGTTAAAAGTAGAGATGCCCAGGCCCCATCACCTCCCCTGCCTACGGGGGATTCTGTGTTGTAGGCCTGTGGTGTGACCTAGATAACTTCATTTTAAATGACATACTGCAGAGTTTGAGAACCACTGCTCTAGAAAGTTAGAAGAGGCACGTATGTAAATGCCTTCCTTATGAGGCAGTATGATGAAATAGTAATGACAGTGAGAATGGCTACCATTTTGGAACATGTCTTCTGTACAGACACTACATCAAATCCGTTATAGCACTTACATTTCATTCAACCCTATGAGGCAGATACGCATGTTCACATTTTATATACAGGGAAACTAAGGCTTGGAGGAATGATGTGACTTAAGATCACCCACTCCAACAGCACCAGAACCAGAATTCTAAGTAGGTCTGTGGGAATCAAGCATTAAAGTTCTTTTCACTGAAATGGGTATTTTTGAAAGAGGTATTTTGAAGGTGAGGCTGCCCACTTCCAGGAGACATGGTCGGAAAAGCTGCTTCTTGGTTGGACAGTTTAAGCCACATCTTGGAAAGTGGGTGGGATTTGGTAGTGAAGGCTTAAAATGAACTGCAGCTCCTCCTTGCAGTGTGTAGCTCTCTTAACCAGGGAAATCTTTGTATCTGGTCCTAGACACCAAGGGGATTCAAAAAAAAGTAGAAGCCACAGTCCCAGTTCTTGGGGGCCCAACACTGTGGTGGTGGATGAGTGGCAAACCCACGAAACACTGCACATGGCAGGAAAGAGTGAATGTGTGACCAGAGTTCAGGAAGATGGGAAATGCTGGTGCGATGGAGCAGTTAGGGCAGACTGCACAGAGCAGGCAGGATTGGAATGCAACCTTGGCAAATACATAGATTTTACTTTGCTGGACTATATCTGGAAACTTCTTGAGTCTACTTGCTTTCATATTAGCCCTTTATCTCATTAACACACACACATACACACTGCAAATCACACTCTAAAAAATCATGTCAGTATTTATTGGAGCTCTCCAAGGGATCCTGAGCTTAGGAAAGTTACTTAACTTCGCTGAGCCTCAGGGGTTTACTCTTTCAAATGAGAGTAATAATGATACCTACCACATGGGATTGCTATACATTTAAATGAAATAATATATTTACATTGCCTGGTCCATAGGAGGTGCTCAGTAAATTAGAGCCCTAACTCCCAGTATGGGTTTAAAGGCTGGGCATCGGTGTGTTAGAGGGTTCCAGTTAGGATCAGGTGGAGAACTGGGGCCCCACAGGAAGGAAGGGAGTCAGGAACTGAGGTCTCGTCCAGGAGGGCAGGACTCTGGGCAGCACAGCCTGGGTGCAGCCAGGATCCCAGCGCCTGGGCACCCCACCCTCTGCCCTGTCTTGGTGTGGCCTGCTCAGAAAAGCCTCCCACAAAAGGTGGCCTTCCCTGGTGCCTTAGAGCGGTGGCAGCCTGGGGAGGCTCTGGACTGGTGGAGTTCAGCCTGTAGGTCCTGGCCATAGATTCCATAAGGGCATTCAACCAAGTCCTCCCTCTCTCCATGCCTAAGGCTGTGCCCCTGGGATGGCTGAAGGGACAGGGTTGGGGGAGGGGTGTGTTAGGTGAGTTGGCAGTGGCAGCGTGTGCAGCCCTGCAGCAACTCACACCCGTGACACTGGAGACACTCCGAGGAAGGAGAGCCTTCCCCTCGGTCTGGAGTGGATCCCTGCAGACTGGAGGGGGCTGGAAGGCGCCGCTGTTCCTGTAGGACCTTCTCTTGTATGACTCCAGCACCACATGGGCTTCTTCCCGTTCCTAAAATGTGTGGCAAAAATGGCACACAGAGAGAGACCCTGCTGCCCAGAGT